ACAATACTTGCTTTCTGGCGAGCTCTTCTTCCACCGGCCCGCTGGAAAACATCCTGGTCTCCTCACCCTTCACCAGTGGTTCTTGGAGGTGTCAACCGCCACCGCCAGAACCCTGCATTACCGGGAAGTCCCTCGGGTTCAAAGGTCCGATGGCGCCTGGGAAGTTCCCTTCAACTCACCAAAGCATCGGCACCGGGGTGGACCCTCCAGTGAGCCTCAGGGCTCCTTCAGTCCTGCTGCAGTTGCCAGAAATGTTGTAGCAGATCCTGCTTCCAATTCAGGACACAAGACCACAAAGGATTGGAGAACACAGGTTTATTTGCACAAAATGGTTCAGAGCATTAGCATGACAAATTCTGAACCCTGGGCTACTCCCGAGGCGTCACTTTTATTTAGCACACAGCCCTAGCTTCGCCCAGGGCATTTTCTCTTATCTAGCTATACCATAACATAAGTACTATGAGAAAGGAGAAGTAAGTTAGAGTTGGTCATCTTGCACAATTCCCTATATATGGTAGTATCTTACACCATCTGTCACTTTCCATACCCGCCCTCGCCATACAGTTTGTTACAGGAAAATATCTAGTACATAGGTCAATATGTTTATATTCATATTCAGCAAGTTTTCTTTATTATTCTAAAGCTTACAACATAGGGATTAAGCAACTTCTACTAATAAGATTTGCAGTTAAAGCGAACTAACTTCTGCTAATAATATTAATACTTTTCTGGTATTTTTCCATACTGCTTCAATATCTTCAACTGTGCAAGTCAATTCATGAGGACTAGTCCCTTCTCTAAATTATATTGCTGAAATCACTGCAGATCCTACTCTCTCTGGGTATAATTGTCAGTATACAGGGATCCTTCACATACTTCTACGTGATCTGGTACCCTGATATTGCATATACAAGCATTTGTATATACTGTATGTGAAGGCTTAGAAAGTAGAGGGGCTTACAAAAATGACTTAAGAGGAAGGACTTTTTGCTTCATGAATCCAGTGTCACAAAGGTCTTCATCTGGGTTTTTAAAATCTTCTCATCATAGTGGTAGAAGTGTTTCCAGAATACAATTCTTCCAGTAGATGATCTCACCAGCAAAGGTGAGGGAATGCTCCCATTAAGCATAAATACATGCTGGTTTTCATCTGTGTTGGCAAAATATTCATGTTTATCTCCTGCTATACTATTATGGCTGCCTATTATATACAAAGAATCACTTAGGTTGTAAAAATATTCTATGGTCAGATTGATGTCAACAGCAATCATACATTTCAGCCATACAAATCTTAACTGAATCATCTGGAAACTAATTCTTGCTCCCTTTTGAAAACAGAGTCATGACTGTAATTCACTTAATTCTCCAAAAATTTGTTTGAAGGAATGATTTTTAACTTTCAAGAGAAGTTTCCAAGCTGTTTGAATCAGATAGAAAAGGAAATCTTAGCCTCAGTAATAACTACAAATTATATCTGGCAGGAGTCATTGTAGCATTACATACAATGCTCAGCATGTAGCTATGCCTGCCAAACTTCACAGGAGTCAGATTCTTTATATTTATTCAAATAAGTAAACAAAAAGCAAATAATATCAACCTCTTTCATATATTTATTTTTGTTGAGATTCAGTATGATTAAATCCAGCTCTTAAATTGTATGTAAGTAGTCCTATGTATGCAATTTTATTTTTAACATTCTCTTGATCTTATAAAATAACGCTCCTAAAGTTTTTTGTTATTATAATATTTGTAATTTTGCTAAGCAACATCAACATTGAAAAAGTCACCTTCTTTTCAACAAACACCTGCAATATATATTAAATTCCTATAAATATATTTATTTAGGAAATAGTCTGAGTATAATATTGAATGCATTAATATTGCAATTCCTTAAAGGTGGAGATATAGGCTGATATCATACACAGGTTCCTAAAAGTCCCATTTAATGGAATGAAATATACTTACAAATAAAAATATATAGGATTAAATAATACTTCGATTGCAGTCAGACAATACATTTTCTCTAAATTAACTGGGTAATTTTATGCAGGAGACAAATACATGTATATTTTATTAACTTGGAAGAAAGGAATAGTCCATAATCTATCACACTGGTCCAATGTGTTTGGCAGATGTGATCAGTGTTAGTCTGGGGTATTTATCATGGCCTGTTCACCTTGGGAGACCCTTCTGGACATATGCATGTATAACGACATAGCCTACGATTTCATGTACCCACACAAGCCCCTTTGCCTCATTAAGGCCCCAAATGGCTTATATGGTTGCCAAATTCAATGTGACTGGAAATTATACAACAACAAATCAACAAAATAATAATAACACTACATTAAAAAAAACACCCAATATTTAAAAGATAAAATGAGAATTGAAAATTGTAATTAAACAACCAAAAATGAGCCTCCACTCAACTGAAATCTGATGCCTAGGGGAGAAGTCAGGTCATGATGACTTTTCTAAAGACAAGCAGAGTTGGGCCCTATTATGTATAAGAAGATAATTTCATAGCCTAGGGTTAGCCAACAAAAAGCCATGCTTTCTAGATCCCTTGAGATGGTAAAGGTTAATAGGACCGTTGTGAGGAAAACGTTCACTAAAAGCAAAAACAAAGCATTTGGAGATAGAAACAATAATATATACTTCATTGGAAATATTTCCAGTGAGTTCCCTGTTAGCAGACTGCAGAAGAAACACAAGGAAGCTCCTCACAACATATGTGTTGGCAAAAAATACTGGAACAAGCAAATAAAAGATAAAAGGGGTAATGTAATCACCCAATGCCTTCTGCTCTGATTAGAGTACTTTTCACACTAATCAATATGTACCATAAACATTGGTGTTTATTTGTACTCTCTATGAACATAAGCATTTGGGTTCTGCTAATTGTTTGCACTTTAAGGTTGCAGCACTGGGATTTAGGTTACATATTTACCTATTGCTACTAAAAACCATACCACATGATACATTTATATATGCTCACTATAGATTGGATGCTGTCTGCCACTACCTTTCATATGGCAACATAAGGGACAGAGACATGTTCTTGGGAGAAAGCAATATAGGACTTTAAAACTGATAACCAGCACCTTGAATAACATATCAAAGCCTATTGAGAGCTACTGTACTTTGTAGTGTAACAGGAGGTAGTTTCCTTAACTATCCACGCCATTAAATTCTGGGCACCTTCAGGATAGTTTTCAAGGCCATTCCCATAGTGAGAATAGCATGAGGGACAAAAGGCAAGGTTTCCAAGTCCTGGAATGGCCACAACTGGTGGACAAGACAAAGTGTGCAAAGAACCTGCCACCACTGCTGCCACCTACTCTTTGAACAGAAGCTGCAAATCCAGGGGGAGACCTAGATTCTGTTCCAAATCTGGAGTGGAAATTTGGTATTGCCATTGCTTGTACAATCAAAGATTCAGAAGCCATAGAAGATCTTCAGAGACATTGGGCATTAGGATGGAATCTTGATCACTTCTCTTAATGGCTGGGGTAGAGATATACAAATGACACGGACGGCCCTCTGAACCAGGACAACCATCTTTTGAGCAGGACTGAAACAGATTTGTTCAGATTCTTCAGAAGGGAATTCTTTCAGATTTTATTCCATGAAGACAAGCTGAAAGGAGTGACTTAAAACTTAATGAGTCAATTGGAATTAGGATGGATTTTTGTCAGTCTGATATTTTTAATTGAAAGTCTTAATCTAAGGTTTGAAAATGTATTTTCCCTTTATATAATAATGCTTAACTAATTCCTAAAGTTTGTAAAATATTATTTAAAGTGTATTTGAAAGTATCTATGCTAAGAGAAAGTTTTAAAAAGATGTATTAGCTTTAAAGAAAAGAAGAGAAATTATTCTATGAGGGTAACTTGGACGGAGTGATCTAAATTTAATGAGTTAATTGGAATTTTATTGGTCTGAAAGTGAATTTTATATATGTTGAGAGGAAGTTTAAAAAAGATGTATTAGAAAGTTTTGATTTTAGAAAAGTTTCTAAAGAAAGTTCAGTGTTTTAAAATGGATGAAAAAAAGTATTTTCCCTTAGGTTAAAGAATCTGAGAGAATACAGTGAATTTTATTTATATAAATGGTGATAGTTTATAAAGATTATTATGTGCAAATAGAAATACGTATTATTTCCATAGCAAGGAGGATAAAGCAGAAATAGATTGTTTTATTCAAAGAGATATATTTAAGTATGTTTTTTATTTAGATATCATTTCCAGATTTTGTGCTTGTGATGAAAAAAAATGAAAGTTTGACTTTGGTTTTGCCAATTGGATAGATTTGTTGTTATTGATATGGCTAGTTATATACTAATGTATAAAGGTAAAAAGTTGAGGCTAGAATGTTATGATAACAACATTTAGTACTGTCCTAAAAAGAGTTGGAAATACCTCATTTTTTCCTTCTGTTTCTCCTTCGCTTAATTTCCTATTCTTATTTTTATTTACTGTATTTATTTATTTATAGATTGATAAAATAATAAAAAGTCAAACCTCAGGAAAAAAGAAAGGAAATCTGTTAGAATATTTTTTTCAGAACTGCTGAAACGTGATGCTCAAAAAGAAAAATCATATTTCCACAATCTGCATAATTGAAAGGAAATACATAAATAAAATATGTAATGGATAAAATAACACAGCAGCATGAATATGCTTCAAGCTTAACATTTCCATTGTTAATAGGCAAGCATTGTCCAATCTAGCAAAATTTTATTTTTATGTTTCATTGTGTCACATTGAAGTAAATAGCCTTTATTATTACTGCTAAGGTGTTTTGTACTGTAAAAGGGAAGCAAATTCATTCAGAGAACTTGCAGCACAAAGCATTAATAGAACCTTGAATTCTATTACTTCAAAAAACAAAATTATTTGTCTTTAGAGTTATTTGTGTTATTTGCTTAAATCTTCTGCTGATCGCATATAATGATTCAGCCAAAGGTGACTGTGCAATGAAGAACATTAATAACAAACCTTTTGAGGAGCGAAAGTGTTTGCTGGGAGCTGTAAAGCCTCTTGTTCCATGCACATTTATGGCTGCCACTCTAAACTGGTACCACCTGCTAGGTCTGATGTCCGTCAGTTGTAATCTCTCATCTGTGATCTGCAAAATATCCAGTTAACATACACATTTATTATTTTTGTGACCTCCATCAGTGGACCTTTTATGCTTTGCTTATTGAAAGAAGAATTCCTTTTCCTATTTTTCATGAAATAAAAATTGGACTAGGTAAGATTTTTCAAACCATCTACTTCACCCATCCATAAGTCTTCAGGATCCAACCCAAAAAACTTTTGTCTGACTGGATTAAAAAAAAACCATCTGAAATTACTAGAGGTTGAACCTGGTATCTTTCACAGATGCAATCCATTCTAGACGTGCATGCATCATCTTTTATGCATTTTTTCACACCATACCATTTTATACATACATCTTACCAGTTACATTTCTTTGTATAGTGATGAGCAGAGCAATCTCATATGCAAATATCAACATGTATCAACCCTTTCTAAGTTTTTTTTTCTAATGTAAATGCTGCTGGAATCCATCCCACAGCATTATGTAGAAACAGTTAGTTTGAATATTACATACATATATACATACATACATACATACATACATACATACATACAGTGTGTGTGTGTTTGTGTGTCTATGAGTTTTATACCCTCTATGTGTATAATATGCATACTGTCTGCTCTACACACACACACACACACAATCTTGGACATCTTACTGTTACAAGTCAGCATGCAAACAAGCCCAAGTCTTCTCTTTAAGACATCCCCCTAAACTGAAGACCACAGAAAATGACATTTATATTCTGTTCTTCTTGTAAAAAGTTTACATTATTAAACCCTGTTCCAAATCAGAGTTAAAAAAAACAGGTGCATGCAGGAAATGCCTCCATTCTGTTCCCGGAATAAAACAGATATGTCTATAACATATGCAACAATGGCCCAAATGGGGAAGACTGGTAGTATCTTTTTCAAGTCCAAAGCACAGAATTATGTGATATGTTTTTACCAGAACAAGAGATGACCCACTTATATGTGTTGCTCCACATACTTGGCAAGTTACAGATTGAAAACTGCAATGACTTATTTTCAAATTAGGCATGATAGGAATAGCAATAACACTTAAAGTTATATACTTCAAAGAGAGAACTCCATACTTCACTAAGGAAGGTCCTGGGTATGTTTAATGTTTGATGCTGGCAATTAATACCAGCCAAAAATATTTAATATCTGATTAAAAATTATATTAATGATGAATTATATTAAGGAAAATCTTAAAGGTAATAGGATTCTATTAAAAATACTGACCTGTGCTACAGTTTGCCAACTTGTTGCATCATCTTCACTGGGATGAATCCCATAATTCCATCTTCTTTGTACCACATAGAGCACAGGTTCAATGGAGATATTGAATTTTGAAGACCATTTAATTTCTAGCTGTCCAGACTGAAGTTCACTAAATTTTAATTCCTTTCTGGGTTTTAAAGGAACACCTAAAACACATAATATCCATATAAAGAAATTGTGTTCACAACTATTTGATTTGGAGAAGCAAGACTATATCATATAAATAGAATACCTACTCTCACATTTTATCTCAATAGCAAATACACTTTTGCTTGTTTTATTGTTTTAAAATATGTCATATGCTATCTTTAATACTGAAAATACTTATCAGCTGTACTGTGAATGTATTATGGAGATAAGCCACCATTTCTATGATTCAGTAGTTGTAATAGATAGTATAATATTACAGAAGTGGTTCCTATTTCCTGTTTTCAGGTGCTGACACTTTTTTCAACTAATTCAATTCCAGAAGAGTTTACATGGGAAAACATGGCCAGCTTGAGACTTAGGGTAAAATTAGAAGATCTGTCATATAAAGAATTAAAAATTATCCTATAATTTTATAAGAAATGTAATACGTGTGATGCTTCCTTATAGGCAGAAATTAATTGTTATATATGACTTAACTGATTCATTATAATAAATATGGGGTCTCAGTGAAAACAGTAAAACTATTTCAAGTTTATTTCTACTACTTCCACAAGTTTATTAGATATTTCAAAAAAACTGGCAAGACTTTAAATGTGGCATATGTGAACATTTAATCAGAAGTAATATTTCTTTCTAGGACATGACATTTTCTCTAAACTTAAATCTAAGAAAACTGTTTCTTTAAGAAACTGATGTGCTACAATTGCTAGAGTTATGTTTTGCTTTCTGTTTTGGACTTGTTACAATTGTTTGTGCCACTTAAATCATCTCCAGAATAAATCAGACATTTATTTTTGCCAGCCTGCACACTTTTCTTGTTAAATCACTTCTAAATCACTTTTCTATAAATCTAGGATTTTATCTAACAAATAATGGAGAACTCTAAAATTGTCAAGAATAAAAAATATTGGAAGCAAATACATTTATTTTTATATTAGTCTTAAGAGGAACTATGCAGCTTCTCAATAAAAAAATGTTATTATTATGTGTAATAATCCTATAGCCTCCATTCTAACAAACTTTCCATCTGCTTTGCATTATGGTCAGTAGGATTCACTTGATTGGAACTAACTCCAACAACACCAACTAACCGCTGGTGGCTGTAATTGTGTGCAGATGGGTGTCATGCAGTAGAGCAGGGTTTCTCAACCTTGCTAACTTTAAGAGGGGCGGACTTCAACTCCCAGAATCTCCCAGTCAACATCAGTCTCCTGAAACCCAAAGAATTTGACCTTTAATGATGAATGTATATTTTTTCATCTTACACTGGAGACATATCTGAAAAAATTACTTGACATGCCAAGCTTAGGCTCCACATTTTATTTAATCCCTCAGAAATATGGGTAGAAATTCATAAGTTTCGAGATTAATAAATAGTGTTCATGATAATTTTTCAAATAATTATTGTTTCATGGTCTAGGATTCAAACTGTCTCCAAAGAAGCTGCTGCAGATGACCAATAGAATGCCAGTATCAGGGAATACCAAGCCAGGAATCATTATGGTTTCATTCAATGTCACACCACTCTTTATATCCATAAAACCAGAAATAGTAAAATAATCCATGTGTATTATATGACACATCTGAGATAGGCAAATACACTAAGATCAAAATATCCAGAATCATGGACTATATACATAGATACATATACAGAATCATCAACCTCTGCTTCACTACCTACTTTGAGTTTAATAAACAGGTACACACACAAACAAATCCTTACCTATGGGATCACCATTCTCAGAAAGCAGAGACTGTAATTCAGGGTGTAGAAACTATAGAACATTCATACAATCAAAAGCATGGATTCATTATGTAGACCACACCTTTGTCATAATAAAGAGACAATAAGAGAAGATATATGAAGTGACAATGTCTTCAAATGAATAACATTCACAAGAGAATGGGAAAATAATCCACTATCCTTCCTGGATATCTATACCAGCAGAGGAAATTACAGCAAACTAGAAATACAAGTCTACCAAGAATGACCCTACTAAGTGCTCATTACCAAAATAATAACCCAGCCTCCACAAAAGGAGCTGTATAAAAAAATTACTCAGAGGAATATAAATATACTACAGCAATCCAGAACATCAGGAAAAAGGAAACACACTGTCTATATGACATCTTCCAACACACAATTACTCACAAAATTTTATTAAAAAGTGTCTGATCAGACAACCCATTACAGTACAACCAATACAAGCAATGAAAAATATAAAATTAGTATACATCAAAAACATCTCAGAAACATCAGACTATTACAATCATACAGCATTACCATAACACACAAATGATCTAAAGTTATCCAAAACATCAAAAGGCCAGTAGCCCAAGAAGGAAAAAGAGTAGTCATCTGTCACGTACAATGTAAGGACTGTAACAGCTACTAATAGGGCATACAGGTAGAATAGCACATCCATGAACACCAACTAGCAGTTAAAAGACATGATGAAAACTCTATTTTCTGAATGACAAGTGAGTGATCACACAGTTTCTCCTTGTCTGGATATGTTCTACTGCATCTGGGTTTGTCACCCAGCCACCAATCTCCACCATTTTCTCCACCCGGAACTCTCCCTTCTTCATGTTTTTTTGTTTAGCTATTGTTGGGGGGGGGGGGGGTTTCAATCAAATCATTCAATCTGCTATAGTAAAATGATCATATAGGTGGTCATTAATTATGGAGTGACCTATTTCTACCAAACTTAAGAAGAGGAATGAGATCTTGATTTCAGATATCTTTCTGGTTCTTCAATTCAAATTAATTTATTTAACTGATTAAATTAACTATACATAAGATTTTATTATTCAGTGAGCTACTTCTTTGAAATATACAGTAAATTCAGTATTCTATTGTCTATGATGCCAATTAAATTTTATTTTTAAATTTATAACCATTTAATTCTTTTAAATGAAGAAATTTATGAACTGTAGGTATTATATAGTTCTTATATCAGTTTGGTTTTATGGCTTTATGACTTAAGAAAGTCTAGGAGTTATATTCTATAAAGAATAAACATTTTTATCACAATTTTGAACCTCTTTACTCTTTAGGCAATATTTGCTTGAGGGAAGCTTTGCCTCCTTGAAACCATATTGTGGCCATTTGTCAAAAAAGACACATAACATCTTCACAGTCTCATCCCATTGGCAATGAAACTATAAAACCTGTTGCTTTGACACAAAGATGTTTGAATAACATTCACTTCTGTTGCTGAAACAGATTTTTTTAAATTTTAATCCTAAATGTCACAAAAAGAAAATGTAGGAGTAACATTTGGGTGTACACATAAACAAGTCATACTTGTTTAATAATCAAACAGCAACCTACAGAACCTGTTGAGAAAATATGAGCAATTGTGAATCTACAGTAATTCTTCACTTCTATACATTAAGCATATTTTAAAAAATGATTAAGTGTTTCAGCATCCAAGGATGAATTCTCCGTACCCAATTCAATACAACTTTATCACAATGCTAATTGTTAATACAAACTATTATACACACCTCACTTGAATTTTTAACCGGTATCAGACCTGAATTTTGTTTTCAATTAAAATCTAACCTTGGCTTGACTTGGTCTCCATATTATGACTACCCCTAGTCATCACAAGATAAGAGCAGTGTGGGGAATGTTGGTATACTTAAAAGAAGTAGCATGTGGGTGACTACATAGACACACACTTTTTCTCTAGTCACTTCTAATAATAAACTCTACCTTTATAAAGATTTTTGGGCACTTGACATGTATGTCCACATCCATTGGAACAGCACTTTTTCACCCCAGAGCATTCGTTGTCAGCCTCACAACTTTCAACACAGGCAGCTGCAAAGCCACTGGCCTTCTCAGGTGCTGGGCAGTCTCCTTGCTTCACTGACTGGATGTATTTCAGGAACTCACAGCTAGTTAGACATTCATAGTTCTTCCTGGGGAAAAGAGGCTAAAGGAAAAGTAAGAGAGGTAACTTTTAAAGATAAAACGTTTTTACTGCAAAAAAAAAAAGTCACAGTGAAATATGTTGGTTTGCTTTCCAGTAAATTCTTGACTTTCCTTATTGACCACTTCCTCCTTCAGTGGATGAAAAAATGTATAACTTTACAGCATCAATGCGTTAAGTCCTTGACGTGATATAAACAATTACAGATGATATTGACTGAAAGAATAGAAACAGCTGAAACCCTAGATAAAACTGACTGTGCAATACTGAATTCTTTCATTTGGAGACAAATGCACCCAAATGTATCATTTGGACTTAAAAATATGGATTTTTTTTTTCAAAAAGAAAAAGGGTCAATGGAATAATTGCTTAATACAAACAGTAAAATGCTAATAGATTATTAAAAAAATGATAAAAGTAATTAAATCCTACAGTATGTTGCCTCATGTCATCAAATAAAGGGTACGTGTTACATCAAACAATTACGTAGAAAAAATATAGTGCAGAATCAATGCTTGAAATTGAAATTTTAAATGTGCATATATTTGTATATTTGTATTTTGGGGTATTAAAGGAATCGTTGTGGTGTTTTCATCTATATTTCCAACCAGAGATGGTATTCAGCAGGTTCTGACCAGTTCTGGAGAACTGGTAGCAGAAAGGGGGCGTGCATAAGCGCACCAACGTGCCTACCATTCCTATCCTATTGTTTCTTTTATTTTTCTTATATGTACCCATTTCATGTATTCATAACTATGTATATATTTATACCTATTATCTTGTAAGCAATTGACAAATCAAATAAATAAATAAAATAAATTTTGAGTAGTTCGGAGAACTGGCAAATATCACCTCTGACTGGAGATTTTACAGCATCCTTCCCCTGCCGTGCCCACCAAGCCATGCCCACAGAACCAGTAGTAAAAAAAAAATTGAATCTCACCACTGCTTCCAACAAAAGGCCAACATCCATTGAGGGAGCAAAGGATTTTAGACATGAACTACTGACTTAAAAACTGGTACGTCAAGAGAACCTCAGATTCCTAGACTATGGCCTGCATTACCTTCATGAAGGGCTACTGGCAAGGGATGGAGTGAACTAAAATAGAGGGGGAAGTGGGTGCAATTTTCAAGACCTCTTTCCCACCACTAATAACTAATGTATGTAAGAAATATTTCACAATAGTAATGGGAGACTTTAACTACCCTTATATCAAAGGGGAGACAAATTCTGCAGCATGTGGGAGATCAAACAGATTTCTAACCAACCTAGCTGACAACTTTGTCAACCAAAAGGTAGAGGAGGAAACTAGAAGAAAAGCTATACTGGACTTAATTCTTACTAACAAAGAAAAAGTGATAGAGAAAGTTGAAATTGTTGGAACTTTGGACAAGAGTGATGTCATACATCCAAGTTACCCAGGAGCTTGCTCTTCCTGAGACTATCATCTGTGAACTATTCTTAAATATCACATTTCGATTCTTACTATGTTACAGAGCACCTGATTATGACATCGAACATGTAAACAAGCTAAATTCACTACTAACATGGGCAGCATCCTGCCCACATGCTTTTATCTTTCTTGGTGATTTCAATCTACTTCATATTGACTGGACCCTAAATGAATGTACAACTGAACCCATACACGCAACCTTCTACAATGCTGTTACAAATCTGGGACTGGAACAACTAGTAACCAACAACACTAGACTAAACAACTGCCTCGATCTCATCTTCTGCAATAATTTGAATTTAATTTACGGAATACAAACTAAAGAACCCTTTTCCAGCAGTGACCACAATATGATTGACTTTTGTCTCAACATACGCCCACACAAAAATCATCACAATGACGTAATCCCCAATTATAACTTCAAAAAAGGCAACTATGATCTTATAGACAATGATCTCTCATCCCTTCATTGGCAAACTCTATTCACTGGATGCAATACTGTTGAAGACCATTACAACATATTTTTTCTTGAAGTCAAAAGAGTCATCAAACTATATGTACCAACAACAACTCCCCCCCCCAAAAAAAAAAAACAGATTACCCATAACAATAAGGAAACTTCAATCCAAAAACAGATCACTCTGGCAGAAAGACAAATCTGGTAACGTTGCCAATTTCAAAAGCCGATACAAAAATTTATGCCACCAGATAAAAACTGAATGCACCAATTATCAAATTAAACAAGAGGAAAACCTTCTATGCACCAATTCCACCTGCGCTTTTTACAATTTTGTAAACAACAAACTAAAAGACTCAAGGTCCATCCCACCCCTGATAGGACCTAATGGTAAAGACTGCAACGACGACACCATTAAAGCCAACATCTTTAACACATTCTTCGGCTCAGTATTTGTAAACAGCAATGGATCATGCCCAGTATTTCCTAGCCGAACCACAGACAACTACAATGATCTAATACATATCGATTTTACAGAAGACAATGTTGAAAAAGCACTACGCAATCTAAAACCATCTCTTTCTATTGGACCGGATGGAATATGTGCCTACTTCTTTAAAAAGCTATCCACTGCCATAGCCGAACCTCTAAGCATAATCTTTGAAAACTCTTTCAGGACCAGCTCCTTGCCTAACCTATGGTCACAATCCATGGTCATCCTCATCTTCAAAAAGGGAGACCCCAGCCTAGTTGAAAATTACAGACCAATCTCCTTATGCTGCGTCACCTGTAAAGTCATGGAATCAATTATTAACCAATCCTCCACTTAGAGACAAACAATCTACTCTCTAATAAACAATTTGGTTTCAGGAAAAAACTATACTGTAATCTACAACTATTACACTGTAAAAACATATGGATTACACAACTCGATCAGCAATAGACGCAATCCACATAGACTTCTGTAAAGCCTTTGATTCAGTGGTACACAACAAACTACTCCTAAAACTAAAATCTTACGGTATCTCTGGACAACTGCATAACTGGATAGAAGCATTCCTGTCAAACAGACAATAAATGGTCAAAATTGGGAGTGTCCTATCAAATTCTGTACCTGTCAATATGGGTGTCCCCCAAGGCAGTGTTCTAGGACCAACTCTCTTCATACTCTACATAAATGACCTCTGTGATCATATCAAGAGCAACTGCGTTCTCTTCGCTGATGATGTAAAGCTATTCAATACCACAGACAATACTGCTACCTACCTTGACTATATATCAGAATGGTCAAACAAATGGCAACTTCAAATCTCAACAAATAAATGCTCTGTCTTACATATTGGCAAAAAAAATCAGAAAATAAAATACAAGCTGAATAGTCAAGATCTTGTTGATGATCCAAGCTCTGTCAAGGACCTTGGAATACTCATCTCTAATGATCTAAGTGCTAGAGCCCACTGCAACTACATAGCCAAAAAGGCATTAAGAGTTGTTAACCTAATCTTACATAGCTTTTTCTCCAGTAATATCACTCTACTAACTGGAGCATACAAAACATTTGCTAGACCAATACTCGAATACAGCTCACCAGTCTGGAACCCACATTACGTATCTGATATTAGCACAGTTGAGAAAGTCCAGAAATATTTCACAAGAAGAGTTCTCCACTCCTCTACTCGTTGTAAAATACCTTATGCCACCAGACTTGAAATTCTAGACCTAGAAAACCTTGAATTATGCCGTCTTCGGTCTGATCTAAGTATGGTATATAAAATCATACATTGCAATGTCCTACCTGTCAATGAATGCTTCAGCTTCAACCATAACAACACAAGAGCACACAATAGATACAAACTCAAGGTTAACCGCACCAAACTTGATTGCAGGAAATACGACTTCAGCAACAGAGTGGTCAATGTCTGGAATACTCTACCTGACTCTGTGGTTTCTTCCCCAAACTCCAAAAACTTTAACCTTAGACTGTCTACTACTGACCTCACCCCTTTCCTAAGAGGTCTGTAGGGGGCGTGCATAAGCGCACCAACCTGCCTACCATCCCTGTCCTATTGTTTCTTTTATTTTTCTTATATGTACCCATTTCATGTATTCATAACTATGTATATACTTATACCTATTATCTTGTGAGCGATTGACAAATCAAAACAAATAAATAAAAAAATATTGGAATTCAATATAATTCAAATAGAGACAATAGAACATAAACCAGCCAGTGTAAACTTCAAAAGAGTTGATTTTAACAAATTCAGCTAGAGCTTAAGAAAAATTCCATGGATGAAAATCCTAATGAGAAAAACAATTCAAGAATGGGAAACTCTGAAAAATATTACCATAAAAGCCCAGTCCAAGACGATACCTCTGACAAAGAAAAACAAGAAATGGTTGCACAAAGATCTATCTGTTAAATTAAAAGACAAAAAGAACAAGTATAAAAAATGGAAAGAAAGACACATTAAGTAAGGCAGAGTATCAGCAGACAGCCTGAATCTGCAAAGATGAAGTCAGAAAGCAAAGGCTCAGAATGAAAAAGACTTGCAACAAACGTCAAACATAATAAAAACAGTTTCTTTCAACACATAAGTAATAAGAAAAAAGTCAAGGAAACAGTAGGTCCAGTTAACAGAGAAGTTAGCAAGGAAGTACAGGCAACAGAGAGAAAGCAGAACTTCTTAACTCATTCCTTGTATCAGTCTTCACACAAAAATCCTATAGTCCAACCTACCAAAAACCTAACTGTAAAAAACAGAGTAGAAATAAAAATTAAAGCAAGAAAATGGTTAGAGAACACCTATCTGATCTTGACAATATAAATCACCGGGAACTGATGGTTTACATCCCAGAGTTCTGAAGGAGATGGCAAATATTACCTCAGAACCACTGTACGTACAATATCTTTCAAAAATCCAAGAATACCAGAGAGTTACCGGAGGATTGGAAAAGAGCTGAGGTGGTTCTCATCTAAAAAAAAAGGAGTGGGGAACAGACCCAGTTTGTTTGTTTATTTATTTATCAAATAAATAAATAAATAAATAAACAGTAACTGTGAGAGGGACCTTGGAGTCCAAGTGGATGATCACTTAAATATGAGTCAGCAATGTGCAGCAGCAGCCAAAAAAGCTAACACAATCCTTGGTCATATAAACAGAGGCATAGAATACAAAATCTGTAGGGGCCGTGCATAAGCGCACCAACGTGACTACCGTCCCTGTCCTATTGTTTCTTTTCTTTTCTTTTTTTTATTTTTCTTATATGTATCCATGTATTCATAACTATGTTTTTACTTATACCTATTATCTTGTAAGCAATTGACTAAATAAATAAATAAATAAATAAATTTTTTAAAAAATTGGGACCGTTTTATAAAGCCTTAGTAAGGCCACACCTGTTTTGGTTACCAGGTTACAAAAAAGATGTTGAGATTTTGGAAAAAGTAAAAAGTAAAGAAGAGCAACTATGATGATTAAATACCTGGAGACTAAATCATGAGCAGTTACAGGATTTGGATTTGGCTAGTCTAGAGAAAAGAAGTACTACAGGGGACATGATAGTGGTATTCCAGTACTTGAGAGGTTGCCACAAAGAGGGGAGGGTCAACTTGTTTTCCAAAGCACCGGAGGACAAGAAACAATGGATGGAAACTAATCAAGGAGAGAATTAAAGAGAAACTTCCTAACAGTGAGAACAATTAACTAGTGGAACAGCTTGCCATCAGAAGTTGTGAGTGCTTTATCACTGGATGTTTTTAAGAAGAGGCTGGACAGTCACTTGTCTGAAATGGTATTGGGTCTCCTGCTTGAACAGGGAGTTGGACTAGAAGACCTCCAAGGTCCCTTCCAGCTCTATTCTTATTGATATAGTAATCTGGCTGAAATATTTATGTTATAATTAAGAAACTATTGAGATCTGGGCAAGTAACTGAATGAGAGCAAATATTTTCATTATCTTTTTGTAAAAAGTGTGAGGAAAAAAGAATCCAGGGAATAGTACATCAATCAGCCTGATATAGTGACCAAGAAAGTTCCAGAACAGATAAAAAGAATCAGTGTGTAGCAACTGAGAACAGCATGTCAGAAAGTAAAACTCAACATGAATTAATCAATGCTGATCTTGATTTCCTCAAAAAGACCGTGGCAATGTTATTGGTGTGCTGCATCTTCATTTAGGAAATCGTTGATAAAATAACCAGTAACATTCTACTTATTAAATTAACATTATTACATTTATATGTTGCTGGGCTCCCAGTGGTTTACAATAGTTAAAACATTTAAAAACCAAAACCAATACAAAAACACACACACAAAAGCACAAGCTAAAAGATGGTAAAGAAAACAAACCCAGAAGAGAGCACAAAGCAAGAAAGGAGTGCCAGTCATCCTTGTCAAAGTTCTGAGCAAAAAGTGAGGTCTTTATAGCTCTTCCAAATACCAGTAGGAAGGAAGAGGGTTCACTGGTTAGTCTAGATGTTATTATAATTACAAAATAGTGAAATGTGATATAGAAAGTACGACAATTTAGATGTATTCCTAACTGGATCAAAACTGGTACTCAACTTTCATCAATGACTGCTTATCAGACTAGACATAGGCATGGAGGGGCATCTTATTCTCAAGGCATATATTTATAACTTGCATGAAAGAAGGAATGTTTTAAAATTTATAGATCTTACAAATGTAAATGGAATAACTAAGCACATAAAAATGGATAGCAAAGCTCAGAGCAAGTTTGAGAAATGGATCTAGCTGTTAAAAAATATTTATTATTTAGTTTTAATCACAGGAAGTTAACATGAATTCATTTAATATTTTAGGTTAGGATTCCCAAATTGTGAATCATGACTTGCTAGAAGTCAACAGCAAATCTGAGGAATTGTACGTACAAATGTGGATTGCTGCCTAAACTTGCAGCTGGCTTTTTTGAGCAAAGATTCTGACAAGACTACTTACATTTGTGCAGACTAAATGGCCTTCAGTCAATTTCTCCTTATAGCATGCATAAAATATACTCAAGTGACTTCTAAAGAGTTTTTTCACAACTAACATACCTCACAAAAATTTTGGCAATGGTTTTTCTTCAGATCCCAGGACTCTTTGCAAGGTTCCAAACACTGAAAAGAATAATTTGAAAACATGTCAGGAAGTAAATAAGATACCTATTTCTTTAATCAAGATAGGAATTTAAAACACTGTTTTTAAAAGAAACAAGTACTGTATCAATGCAGAAAAATAAACATATAATGTATTCTGAAAGAACAACAGTTAATTGGGTTCAGCATGGAAAACTGCAATTAAATTAGCATTTTTATATTTCTCATTTATAATAGTATTTATTTCTTTTCCTCATGTTCCATGAATATGAGCTTCAACATCTCATCAATGACCTACTCTGTATGATATCAAAAATTTAGAAAGCCTCTTTTTCTGGAATGCCAGTAGATGAGTTGATTTAAAAGATCTATTTATCAATCTTGTTTAAAATGGCTGAGGATCAAGTATTTATCAATCATGATTCTATCATGTGTGGTTCCTTGTCCAAAAACCTACTTAGATACAGATAATCAGAGTTGGAAGGGACCTTGTGGGTCATCTAGTCCAACCCTCTTGCCCAAGCGGGAGACCCTACACCATTTCTGACAAATGGCAGTCCAATCTCTTCTTGAAAGTCTCAACTGATGGTGCTCCCACAACTTCCGAGGGCAAGCTGTTCCATTGGTTGATTGTTCTCACTGTCAGAAAGTTTCTCCTTATTTCCAGGTTAAATCTCTCCTTGTTCCATTATTCCTTGTCTAGCCTTCCATCCATTATTCCTTGTCTAGCCTACAGGAGCTTTAGAAAATAGCTTGACCCCTTCCTCCCTGTGGCAGCCCCTCAAATATTGGAAGACCGCTATCATGTCTCCCCTGGTCCTTCTCTTTACTAGACTAGCCAAGCCCAGTTCCTGCAACCGTTCATTGTATGTTTTAGCCTCCAGTCCCCTAATCATCCTAGTTGCTCTTCTCTGTACTTTTTCTAGAGTTTCAACATCTTTTTTATAATGTGGTGACCAAAACTGGATGCAGTACTCTAGGTGTGGTCTTACTAAGGCTTTATAGAGTGGTATTGGTACTTCCCTTGATCTTGACTGTTAATGCAACTTAGGATTGCATAAGCTTTTTTGGCGGCTGCTGCCCACTGCTGGCTCATATTTAGCTGGTTGTCCACTAAGACTCCAAGATCCCTCTCACAGTTACTGCTATTGAGCCTGGTTTCACCCAGGCTATATGTGTACTTTTGGTTTTTCTTGCCTAAGTAAAGTATATTGAATTTCATTTTATTAGATATGGCCCAGTGTTCTAGTCTGTCAAGAGCCATCTGGATCTCGAGCCTATCTTCTTGGGTGTTAGCTATTCCTGCCAGCTTAGTATCATCTGCAAATTTGGTAAGTTCCCCTTCTATTCCCTCATCTAAGTCGTTAATAAAGATATTGAAGAGTACTGGGCTTAAGACGGAACCTTGTGGCACCCCACTGTTTACTTCCCTCCATGTAGACTTAGACCCATTAAGGACTACTCGTTGAGTACGGTTTGCCAGCCAGTTGCGAGTCCATCTAGTGGTGGTGCTATCTATTCCACTTTTTTTCTAGCTTACTAAGAAGTAGGTTGTGGTCTACTTTGTTGAATGCTTTGCTGAAATCTAAATATATTATGTCCACAGTATTTTGCTGGTCTACTAATTTAGTCACTGTGTTGAAGAATGAAATAAGATTGGTTTGGCATGATTTGTTTTTAACAAACCCGTGCTGACTGCTAGTTATTACTTTACTTGTTTCTAGATGTTGGCAGATCTGTTTTTTATTATCTTTTCCAGTATCTTCCCGGGTATTGACGTTAGGCTGATTGGTCTATAGTTTCCTGGGTCTGTTTTTTTTCCTTTTTTGAAAATGGGAACCACGTCAGCTCTTTTCCAGTCCTCTGGTAGTTCCCCGGTGCTCCAGGATTTTTGAAAGATATGATGCAGTGGTTCTGAGATGACCTCTGTCAGTTCCTTTAAAACTCTGGGATGTAATCCATCAGGCCCCGGTGATTTGTTTTCATCAAGATCAGACAGGTGTTCTCTTACTATTTTTTTGCTTATTTTAACTTTTATTTCTGGTCTGTCTTTTACAGTTATGTTTTTGGTGGGTTGAGCTATAGTTTCTTTTTGCGTGAAGACAGAGGCAAAGAATGAGTTAATCAGTCCTGCTTTCTCTCTGTTGCCTGTTACTTCCTTGCCATCTTCTCCTTTAGTGGGCCGACTGTTTCCTTGATTTTTTTTCTTGTTATTTATATGTTGGAAGAAACTTTTTTTATTATCTTTGACTGTTGTTGCAAGTCTTTGTTCGTTCTGAGCTTTTGCTATCCTGACTTTGTCTTTGCAGATTCTGGCTATCTGCTGATATTCTGTCTTAGTTGTATGTCCTTCTTTCCATTTTTTTGTACTTGTCCTTTTTTTCTTTCCAAAGAGATCTTTGCCAAAGAGATCTTTGTGTAGTCATGCTGGTTTCTTCTTGGATTTCTTGTTTTTCTTACTTAAATACTATTAATGGCAAACTGATCAGATTCCTCCCCATTATCTCCTATAACTTTTGATTATGATGACTGCAATCTAACTGATGCCCCTTTTTGAGAAAAGGGGAGCCAGAGGGAACAGGGTAAGTGGACACATTTCCAAACAATAGAAATGTTCCTATGGGACATTTTAGAATTCTTAAAAATGAATTCCTTGGCTCTACTTCCCATTTATCTTATTATTGGACTCTGTTATTAATTGTAATAGTTTCCCATTTATTTTAAATTTTAAAAAGCTAAAAAAAAGAAGCAAATGAAATGGAACATGTTTCCTGGCTCATGACAACAGACCTTCTGTTGGTGACATTGGTGCCTACAGATTCTATGTTGGGAACCTAGAAGTCACAAACCCAAATCTCCATAGATTTTGACTGTAATAAAACCTTAATCATGCATAACTCCATCTTATGTAATGTCCACAGGAAAGTCTTTCCCCACAAAATATTGAGACTATCATTTAAGCAATCTTTCATGACTTACTCAGGTGTTAAGACTGGTTAAATGTGTTGACCATGGGGATAAAAACAATTTATCATGCAAACATAAGGATTAAGTAATAGTGCAACCTCATAATCCTCTGTTTTGAATGAATTGTACTTCAAACTGATGTGTATAATCTCCAGGTCTAGATTTTTCAAAATCTAAATACTTTTTAAACTCTTGTGTCTGGAACCTTTAACTAGGTGAAATGGTGCTTCATAGGGCAGAAACTTTCCAACCAAGATACCTCAAATTGGCTAATTTATAGAATGTTGGGACCCATGACTCCTGAGGTAACTTCAGTGCCCCTGCTATGCTGTCACAGTCACCCGTGATCACATGATCCTCATTTTCAATATTCCCTGACAGTTTACACAAATGTCTGGGAACTTGAATCATATTCCCTCACTCTTCCCATACCTGGCAGAAACCACTTTCCTACTGTCAGGGGAGGGGAAGGGAAGGAAGGGAAAGAGAAAGGAAAAGGGAAAGTAAGTTTTTCAAGGAAATTTAGCTTATATGGAATTGAGCAAGAAGAAGAAAAATTAAGGGGAGACTTCTTACATCTTTATAGACTCTCATGCATAAGCTAATTAAGACAATAGAACTGAATATTTTTGCATGGTTCCTACTATACGCAATCAGAAACAGGGAAGAGAAAGATTGTCTAACCATTACCAGGCTTCTCTTTTTAGCTTTTCAGTTTCTTCCTAGTGATCCACGTTGACAGATTCAGCATTACTAAACAGCAAGCGCTATAGGGCTTTTCACTTTAATTTCACGCTATAATAAGATACAGTGGTTGTTTCACTAAGGGACTGAAAGCTTTTCTTTGTAAGAACTATTTGATGGTCAAGTTAAGTATCACATTCTGGCAATGAGCATCTGTTCTCCAAGGAGAAATGGTAGTAAGAAATGAAAAACACAGAGAAGAAAGATGTGGAAACTTTTCAAAAGTCATCTTCCTCATTAAAGAAATTAGGCCTATTCAGGTCTCTTTACATCAATGCAAGTAAAGTGCAAATCAAATTAGCTTCTCATTGGTGAGCTGACAGATTATTTAAGGTTTACTATATAATGGGGTCAGCTGTTTATTCTAACCACATTCAGCACTGGACTAGTTACTGTTAATGAATCCTATTGTTACACCATAGCAAAGCAAGTATGGGGATAACATGATTTCCTGCCAAACTTAAATTTCTTTAATTCCTCTAATATGAACAAAACTGTAAAAAAAAAAACTATCTGGGGCTTTTAGAAACAGTCCTTTCTTGTATTGTATTGTACAGAGCCAAATTAACTTTGCACACTCCATTATTACAAAGCCAACACCTAGAATTAAATAGTGCATGTCCATGAAATAGTACGTGGTACATCATAGAATGGTTATCACAGGATATTCCAACCACAGTGATTTCTTAAAGTGGAAATTTCTGAAAGTGGAAATTTCTGAAGGTGGGAATTTCTGAAAGTGGAAATCCGATAATCACATGCAGAGCTCTGCATTTAGATTGCCAAGACTGGCACATATTTAGGTGGAGCTTTTTTGAGACAGTTTACAAACAACTTACCAAAATTTTCTTATACATACAGTAATATCTTCAAAAGCCAACCAGCTGTTGTGGAAGATTGGCCTAACTCCCACAAATCACAGGATTTATGTCCATATGATAGGGACCACAAGAAGATAATAAAGGAATTTTTGCCCTTAAAATCATGACTGATCATGTAAAGAATTAGGGTTGCTCATTGCAATAAGGTTGTCATGAATGTTTAGAATATGAAATAAATTTAATTTCTGACACCAGGGGACAAATTATTCCAACAGGATTTTTTTTCCTACTGCCTGTTTTGAGCATGTCCTCTAAAAACATCTTCATTACAAAACCCAAAATATTTTATTTTAAAGATGCATATTGTGTTAAATGGGATGAAGTGAAACTCTATCCATTTGCACAGAAAATTCAGGCAGAAGGCGCAGAATATTACTTTTTCCACCTTTATTTTGCTGACAGCGTATTCTGATTTTATAATCAGATGAT